ATGGAGGACGACAGAGACGATGCACCAGCAGACGACTAGACCATAGTTCAGGTAGGTCTTCCCTTTTCTATTTTAGTAGAGATGTAGTAGGCCTTTCAGATGTATTTTGGAGACTCGGATTTTGCATACTTTGGAGTTATTTATCTATATGCGAGCCTCTATGTTTTTTTCGGATAACGTTTGTTGTTCTATGAGCGTTCATACTGATACATGAGAGAGGAGTATCAGTTTCCGAGTGACGACGAGTGGATAGATCCCAGTTCACAGAGAGTGTGAGAGTTCTGGCGTTTGACGTGAGTTAACTTCATTGCGAGCGAACGAATTTCGCAGAGCTAAGCCTTCTCTACCCTTTTACTGGTTCTCTTCATACGTTATTTTCGATTCTATTCTTCCGGGCGAGAGTCTACACCGTGGACGGTGTATGGTTCAAGTCTGGGGGGGGGGTGGATAGATCCTTCACCCATTCAGGCCTATCTACTTAGGATTGCATTTAGTTTAGGTGCATTTTATCACGGCATATAGACTTAGGAAAAATTTTCACTATTGCATATCACTTTGCATTAGTTGCATTCACGTTTTCTTTTTCTTTTCATATAGACGATTTTTGTTAGGTTTACATGATTGCATATGACATATAGATACAGGTTCATATAGGTTCACGTGCATACCTCGGACACCCGTTTTGAACATCATTTGGAGGATTTGTGGAATGATAGAGTAGGAACATCTTGATGATCTAGTGACTTTGTAGAGCGTGGTTGAACCGTGTCGAATTGATAGTTCTCCAGACTTTCTATATATAGTTTGTGGGATGAGGTTGTTGTTTGGAACCTACGGAGTTGAAACGACAATATCCAGGTTATATGTTTCGTTTAGAATCGTTCGAGGATATGAGTGCATCGATTGATGGTTCGGGTCTAAGTTGTGGGTCGGACATCGCATCAAAAGAAAAAAAAAGGGAAAAGAAAGAAAAAAAAAAGAGAAAGAGAAAACCGATGTCCTTCAACTTCAACGTCCTAGAAACCCGAGATGCGTGCATTTGATAGAAAAATCCTACAACAAAAATACAGGTATGTAGAACTTAGATCGAAAAGGTTAAGTTGAGACAAGGATAGATTCGGAAATAGGCTTGGTGAGTTGTAGAGATTCTAACAGGTTCTAGGTGACAATAAAAGTCCCATGACTAGGTAGATTAGTCTTTGGTAGAAAGATCATAGTAGACCGGTTTGGGTACGATTCACGGGGAGCTAGCATTGGATGGATGTTTCGCTTTTGAGTTTCATGATGATGCTATTTGATGTTCGTCATCCCTGTTTTGCAGATTTTATTCCTTCGTTCTTTACTCGAGGACGAGCAAAGGTTTAAGTCTGGGGGGATTTGATAACTCCTAATTCTCTCTATATTTTCAGGGTGTTTCTATAGGATTTATATGAGGATCATATTCATTTATAGGCATTATAGGCGCGTTAGGCTACGAAACTCGGTTTGGTTTTTTTTTTATTGGATTACAGGTCTTGGATGAGATTTGGACCAAGGTGGAAGCAATCTGGAGCTAAAAGGATTAAATACATCAAGAACTTCCTATCTTGACTCGGCCAAAGTCAACAACAGAAATTGGACCGAGTCACCACGCTGAAAATGGCTCAATTCAAGCCTGTTACGAGGAGACCGAGTCAGAACGTCCGAGTCAGACTACCCCGAGTCAACATGTCCGAGTCAGAAGATTGGTCGTTTTGACTCGGTCGAGTCAGAGTACTGACTCGGTCCGAGTCAAAACCCAGAAAAAAGCCCAGATCGAATTTTCAGAATTGGAACGGGAGTAGGACTTCGGGAGCGCCACCTAGGGTTGATAAAAAGACTCTACAGACGTCCTAGAGGGGGAAGACAGACTTGATACAGACTTTGGAGAGCTTTGGTGAGAGAAATAGGAGTTTTACGGGATTTCGGAAAGAAGAAGGAGAGTTGGAACGTGAAGATCGCTTGCTGTCGACATGAGTCTTTCTTCTCCCTCTTTTCGGTTTTATTCTGTGTTTTTCCATGAACCGTGAGTAGATCGACGGCTGTGGGTTAGGGATTCGTTTGTGTTTTGGGTATGTTTGAACCCTAACTTGGTTGCGATTTGGATTTGTTTCGGTTTTATCGATTTGTGCTTTATTCGATTGGTGTTTGCTGACCCCTTGGCCAATTATTTCAGATTCTGAACTACATAAGAATATGAGTTTAGTTTCGGATCGAAATCGATAGAATAGATCGTATTATTCACATAGGAATATGGTTTGATCGATCTAGGGTTGATGATAGCGTTCTTCATGCATCTAGTTTGATAAATCACATAGGGATATGGATTTAGAGAACTTTAGATAGTGAGTTATATGCCGGGAGGTGATTTCTCTATTTTTGTTGCTTGACGATTCCCGAATACAGATTCAATATCGTGATTCTCGCATGCTTAGCATATACCCATACACGCGAACACGGTCCCGACACCCACGGTCATCTTTGCTTGATAGTTACACGTTTTTATTTGCCTTCTTATTTTAGTTATTTTAGATTCCACATACTTCTACCATTACTTTCACTCGCTTGCTTTGATCTATTTTCGACTAGGATTTAGATTTAGCAACCGGTCCTTGTGTTCGACCCCGTGTTACGACGATCCGTATCCTTGCGGTGAGTTGTGAATCGGGTTATAGATTTTAGACTCGGTACACACGTATCATCGCACTCTCGATCACTCTCTTCAAGAAGAAAGTTTCCAGGTCTAGCTCTGTCAAACCCTCGATAATGCCCCATCGTATACCCAGGTTGATCCCCACCCTCCGGGCGATCATAGAGACGATACCACTGGTACACTGGGCAACACTGGCTGAGGTCTTTTGGTTAACACTCCAATGAAGGTGGAGCGCTACCCTAGAAGCCACGCCTAAGTCGGACATACTCTAGTCGTCACCGTCAAATGCATCTTGCAAGGCTCGGCGTAAGAGGCATACCTCTAGGGTACTGACATTATCCTGCTCTCCTCGCGCAAACAGTCCTCCCGCCATAAACATATGTAGGTACCTCACCGCGGGATATCTGATCCATGTGGACTTCCCCTTTCCCCTCGGCAGATCCTTGAATGCGATCGCCAACTAGAACTCATGAAAGGCATCAGCTGGTACGTCTGGCCATATGCTCGTGGTTCCTCGTGGAACTCCGACTATCTCCGCAAAATCGGCCATGTTCAGACAACATGTCTGGCTCGCTAGGCGGAACAACATGTGTGCATCCTCGATGCTTCCGTCCTCCGGAAAATAGCAATGGTAGGAGGATAGAAACTCCAACGTGAGATGAGTATATGTCTGCTCTCGAGCCTTGAATAGTCTGTCCCACCCCAGCTGATGGAACAGGTACCTCACCGACTCCTTAATCCCGAGCTGGAATATCGAATCACTGACGAACTTAGTCGGTGCGAGGCCCTCACCTTCAAATCTGTTGTGGAGGTGCCTCTGACCCTGGAGGATAAACTCAATGGCAGGGGGCGTTCCCCTTGTTGACTCGATGGGTTGAAGATCAGTGAGCTCCCCTATGGTGTCCTCAGGTATCTCGAACTGCTGCATCTTGGGAGGTTTGCAAGTATACACCTCTGTCTTTGTCTGCGCATGAAACAAAATGTCGATTGGTAAGTCGAAGCATAGATGTTGCAAAAATAGGTGAAACTTGCGGAAAAATATGTCTCACAGTGCCTTGACCGATACGATCGAAATCTAGACCGAGCGAACCAAATTTGTGATTTTTTTTCTATGCATGCAGTCCGTTCGGACTACGTATTTCAGTCCGAACGGACTAACGACTCAGACTAAACCATTCAGACTGGACCACAGAGATTCCGCCATTGTTACTCACTCAAAGCTTCGAATCTCACAACAATTCGCTAAGGGACCCCTAAATCCAACCCATATTATTAACCGGATTTGCAGAAAATAAGACTTCAATTCATCAAATCAACTAGATTAGGAAGGACCGAAAGGTTTACCTCATATTCCATGGTGAAAACAAGAGAGATGTCAAAGAGAGAAGAGCGAGAGGGATAGGGGTGGCGTCGACGGTGTCCTAGGTCTGAAAAGAGGGCTAGATGTGATCGGAGGTGAGGATTCCGGCAGTTGTAGCGGTGGAGAGGCGCATCACCGTTCGATCTCCTTTTTGTGAGAGAAGTGACAGATTTACCACCCCACTTACCTTTTATGCCATTTACCCTAGACCATTCGACCCCCTTACCCAGACCGAACGAACTGCCTTTAATCAGTCCAAACGGACTGACTTGGTCAGTTCGAACGGACCCATGTCTTTCAGTCCGAAGCAATCGCCGAAGCAGTCCGAACAAGCTGATCCACCTAGTCCGTTTGGACCATATTCTCAGTCCGAACGGACTGACATTCAAACGTTGTTCACCGATTCTTTCCTCTATTTTCCTGCACTACAGTCAGCCTAGTTCAATTCCAAACAGCACCAATATACCAGGAGAGTATCAAAATCAATCAAAGAATGCAAGTGGGTGATTCTTAGTGAGATACAATGCAAAAACGATACAAAAAAGAATATATACAAGCTCAAGATGTCTCCCGATAGCGCTTGTTTATGGTCTTAAACTTGACCGTGGCTACCACCTCTACGCATCGATCGGATTGGAGAGGCGCAATGTCCCTCTCCCCATGTTCCGCTCCGCGGGGCTGTAAACTTTCAACCTTTGAGCGTTGGCCTTAAACATTGTCCCTCCATGACCGTATAACTCAACCGCTCCATGAGAATAAACCTTCTTGATTGTGAACGATCCCGATCAACGCGATCTTAGCTTTTCCGGGAAGAGCTTGAATCTAGAATTGAAGAGGAGCACTTGGTCGCCTTCTCTAAACACCCTTTGCAGCACATGGCGATCATGCCACTTCTTCGTCCTCTCCTTGTAGATTCGGGCATTCTCATACGCATCCATCCGAATCTCATCAAGCTCATGCAACTCTAACATCCGCTTCTCCGCAGCCGATTTCCAATCAAAGTTCAATTTCTTAATTGCCCAAAGAGCCTTGTACTCAAGCTCAAGTGGAAGTTGGCAAGTCTTTCCATAGACAAGTTAGAAGGGAGACATACCAATGGGTGTCTTGAAGGCCGTCCTATACGCTCATAGAGCGTCATCAAGCTTCATAACCCAATCTTTCCTTAACCTTGACACCGTCTTTTCAAGTATCGCCTTGATCTCTCTATTTGAGATCTCAACTTGTCCGCTCGTTTGGAGATGATATGGGGTAGCAACTTTATGCCTCACACCATATTTCTTCAAAAGTGTTTCTTTGGTGCGGTTGATGAAGTGAGATCCCCCATCGCTAATCATAACCCTTGGTACCCCGAACCTTGGAAAGATCACTCTCTTGAACATCTTTGTCACCATGTTCGAGTCATTAGTGGGACTTGCCATCGCCTCTACCCACTTGGAGACATAGTCCACCGTCACTAGAATGTACTGATTCCAATAGGAAGATGGGAATGGTCCCATGAACTCGATGCCCCAAACATCGAATGACTCAACTTCCAAGATGTAGCGCTGAGGAATCTCATGGCGGCGGGATATGTTTCCGGTCCTTTGGCAAGCATCGCAAGAAGAGACGTATTAGTTAACGTCCTTGAACATTGTTGGCCAATAAAATCCAGCTTGAAGAATCTTAGCTGTGGTTTTCGATGCTCCAAAGTGACCCGCATAGTCCGAAGCATGAGAGTGATAGATCACACTTCGGACTTCCTCTTCGGGTATGCATCTTCTAAAAATTCCATTTCCCCCCTCTTGAACAGAAACGACTCTTCCCAAAAACAATCTTTGACATCTCTGAAAAACTTCTTCTTTCCATTGTAGTCTAGCTCATGGGGAATGTAGCCACTCACAATAAAATTAAATCTGCATACTACGGGTCTCTCTCCTTGACCTGCACCGCCATCACATGATCATCTCAGAGATAATCATTAATCGGAACTTTCACATGGCACTCAATCCGGGAGAGATGGTCGGCTACTCCATTCTCTTTACCTTTCCTATCTCTAATCTCCAAGTCGAACTCTTGTAGCAAGAGCACCCATCTAATCAATCTCGGCTTGACATCTTTCTTGGTCGGTGTAAACGATCACTTTCGACCCGACCAAATATGATCTGAACTTCTCAAAGGCAAAGACAATGGCGAGTAACTCCTTCTCGGTGGTGGAGTGGTTAACTTATGCATCATCCAAAGTTCGACTCGCATAATAAATGGCGTGAAGCTTCTTGTCTTTTCTCTGGCCCAAAACCGCTCCAACGGCAAAGTCACTCGCATCACACATAAGTTCAAAGGGAGCTTCCCAATCCGGTGGCTGTATGATGAGCGGAGATATCAAAGTCTTCTTCAATGTCTCAAAGGCAGCCAAACACTCATTGGTGAACTCAAATGGCATATCCTTTGCAAGCAACTCCATCAAACGCCTTGAAATCTTGGAGAAGTCCTTTATGAACCTCCGATAAAACCCGGCATGTCCTAAGAAACTCCGGATTCCCTTAACATTCTGTGGAGGTGGCAACTTCTCTATCACTTCAGTCTTAGCCCGATCAACCTCAATTCCTCTGCTTGATATCTTGTGACCCAACACTATGCCCTCTTGAACCATAAAATGACATTTCTCCCAATTAAGCATAAGGTTTGCCTCAACGCATCCATCCAACACTCAACACAAATTCATCAGACACATAGGAAAGGAGGGTCCATGGACAGAAAAATCATCCATGAGCCCCCTCGATAACATCCTCAATAAGATCAGAAAATATCGCAGTCATGCATCTTTGAAATATCGCGGGTGCATTACACAAACCAAAAGGCATCCTATGATATGCAAAAATGCCACATGGACATGTGAATGTGGTCTTTTCCTGATCACTAGGGTAAATGGGGATTTGGAAGAACCCCAGGTTACCATCTAAAAAGCAGAAGTAGGAATGTAAGGCTAATCTCTCAAGCATTTGATCGATGAAAGTTAAAGGAAAGTGGTCTTTACGGGTATTAGAGTTCAACTTCCTATAGTCAATGTGTTGGGCTTCCTGGGATCTCCACAGTGAATCTAATTCCTAAGAGAACGGTTCTAGGGTTTGCGCAGCGGATGTAAAACAAAAATTTTGTAAAACCCTAAAACCAAACATGCATGATTTTGTAGAAATGTTAGAACGCTTACCTCAATCGATCACAAAGGCAGGAAGATTACCTCGCCCTCTACACGTATCCACACGGCGGAAAGGATTCTAACTGTTGGAACTCATCTGCTAGGACCGAAGAACACCTTCTTCTTTGCGCAAGGGTTTCAGGGATCTAACTCTGGATTTTTCGATCTCAAAACTCTCTAAAAAAGGTCTGAAAGTCGAGCTCTCACCCTTAGGAGGCGTTCCACAAAGTTAATTAACCTTACAACCCTAATTAGAGTGAGATAAAGAATTTATGACGTCTGGACCGATCGGTCTGGAATATTTTCCGGACCGAACAACATTTGTTCGTCACCTCTAGACCGATCGTTCCACGTGTCTGGACCGATCGGTCCAGCCAGCCCAGACCGATCAGTCTAGACCTCTGGACCGTCGGTCTGGCCTCCGCTCCACCGGAAATTTCTCGTCTTTTCTCGCCCGTTTGTCCTTCCCTATGTGTGTGACTCTGTAGGCTCATTCGATACAACAGTATAACCCGAAATCTCCATTTCGGTTATACAAGTCATACGCGGTCTCTACCAAGACACTATGACTACCTATTTCGAATAGAGTTTGTTCGTGATCTTACGAACGTCGGTGATCATTTCGATTCATGATCCTTTTGTATCATGATATCATATGTCGAACATAAGGCATGGAAAAGCTACCTTATCTGATTCGACTGCTTTCTCGTTCATTGAGTTCGACTGTATGAAATAGACGATACTCGTCTATAATATGACCACAGTCTCGCTCACACGAGGGGCCCAACGATATCTCTCTCTTTTACGAGAGATACAAATCCCATCTTGATTATCTACAATCCAACACATGATTCGTGTCGTACCTGATACATGCCTTTATAGTCCTCCTGTTACGCAGGACGTTTGACGTATTCAAAGTACGCAACTCCTTATGTTGGATTCCGTAGATATCTCAGGTCATAGGATCCAATCATAGAACCGTCACATGAGATTCAAGTCATGACGCTAATCCATGTGACAATCTCATGCGGGTCAATCTAGTATTCCGTTCTCCAACGAATACCTATGATTGTGATCGTATCCAATATTCATGATCATCTCTATGATCATCTATCATCCATCATACTAGTCTTAGTACATCATTGTTCCCACAATGATATATGACTAGGGAGTTTATTATTGTTCATAACAATACATGGATTTCATAACATATTAAAGTATGCATAACATGTAATGAATCAAACACTCATCCATAAAACTATAGAAAGTGTCTATACATCAAATGTATCATAAGAAAGCTCGTAAAATAGTACATCATAGAACATTAAACCAACAATCTCCCACTTGCTCTACTCATGGACTGCTAAACATCTAATCCCCATATCCCTAACATGACCCTCATGCTTCGACGAAGGGAGACGCTTCGTCAACGGATCGGCAATGTTGTCATTTGTCGACACTCTGCAAATGTTTATGTCTCCTCTGTCTATGATCTCCCTGATAAGGTGAAATCGTCTGAGTATGTGTTTGGATCATTGATGGGACCTAGGTTCTTTCGCTTGTGCAATTGCACCATTGTTGCCACAATACAGAGCAATGGGGCTGTCAGCACTAGGAATGACACCCAAGTCGCCAACGAACTTTCTGATCCAAACAGCTTCCTTTGCTGCGTCTGACGCTGCAATATACTCAGCTTCTGTAGTAGAATTTGCAACAGTCGCTTGCTTAGAACTCTTCCAGCTTACAGCACCTCCGTTCAAGCATAAAACATAGCCAGACTGCGATCTGAAGTCATCTTGATCTGACTGAAAACTAGCATCGGTGTAACCCTTAACAGCGAGCTCGTCTTCCGACCCACCGTATACCAAGAACACATCCTTAGTCCTTCTCAAGCACTTCAAGATGTTCTTGACGGTGATCCAGTGTGACTCACCTGGATCTGACTGGTATCTACTCGTAATGCTCAACGCATAGGATACATCCGGTCGAGTACAAAGCATGACATACATGATGGATCCAATTGTCAAAGCATATGGAATCTGATCCATGCGTTCTCGCTCATCAGGTGTCGTAGGACACTGACTCTTGAAGAGAACTGTGCCACTGCTCATCGGTAAGGTTCCTTTCTTGGAATCTTGCATATTGAACCGTTTCAAGACCTTATCGATGTAGGTACTCTGACTCAATCCTAGAAGCCGCCTCGATCTATCTATATAGATCTTTATGCCTAAAATATAGGCCGCTTCTCCTAGGTCCTTCATAGAAAACTGCATTCCTAGCCAAGACTTTACGTCTTACAAGGTAGGAACGTCATTCCCTATTAGGAGAATGTCATCCATGTACAACACTAGAAATACTACTGTGCTCCCACTGAACTTCTTGTAAGTGCATAGCTCGTCTTCGTTCTGTGAGAAACCAAACCTTTTGATTGTCTCATCAAAGCGAAGGTTCCAGCTTCTCGAAGCCTGCTTCAGTCCATAAATGGACTTCTGAAGCTTTCACACCTTCCTCGGGTTCCTTGAATCGATAAAACCTTCGGGTTGTGTCATGTACACATCCTCGGTCAAGTTTCCGTTAAGAACGCAGTCTTGACATCCATCTGCCATATCTCATAGTCGTAATATGCGGCTATGGCAAACAAGATCCTAATGGACTTCAGCATGACTACGGGCGAAAAGGTCTCATCATAGTCAATACCATGAATTTGACGGAATCCTTTCGCCACAAGTCATGCCTTATATGTGTGCACGTTGCCATCCATGTTAGTCTACTTCTTGAAGATCCACTTGCATCCGATGGGTTTTATCCCTTCAAATGCATCAACCAGAGTCCATACTTGGTTGTCTAATATGGATTGCATCTCGGACTTCATAGCATCGCGCCATTTCTCGAAGTTGGTACTCGCCATAGCCTCTGGGTATGGGGAAGGCTCATCATGTTCTAATAACATGAGCTCCTCATTCCCAGTCACGAGAAATCCATATCTCACAGGCTCTTGGCGAATCCTGCCTGACCTCCGAGGTTCACCAGCCGAAGGCTAAGTCTCAACCGGCAGTGATACAGGTTGAACGTCTTCAACTTATTCACTCAGCTCAGTGTCTACTTGTTGCTCTCAAACTTCCTCAAGTTCGATCCTACTCCCACTGACTCTTTTGGAGACGAACTCTCGCTCCATAAAAGTCGCATTCCTGGCAATGAACACCTTGTTTTCTTCTGGAATGTAGAAGTAGTAACCCTTAATTTCTTTAGGGTAGCCTACAAATAAACACTTATCAGATTTGGAGGATAACTTATCAGTCATCTGGCGCTTCACGTAAGCGT